TCGCATTGCATCACATTCAGCAGTGGTTCTCCATCAGCATCACCCAAGGATCCCAAAGCACCAGGAAAGAAGTGTACCCAAAAGTGGAGAAAACTTGCTAGATCTTGAAGTAGTAACTTCATTATAAATTACATGCTTGACAACACTAATGGAGCTTGTGGAGTTACTTAATTTATAAAAGGGGGAAGTGCATCAAGATGGATGTACCAGGATCGTTACTGTAGCACTGTTTGTAAGAGAAACAAAATTAAAATTCCACAAGTAAGAGATTAATTGAAAAACAATAAAGACATTCATATTGTGTTCTGTTATGAAGCTGTTCTAAAGAAGAGGCAGATTGACACAGACGGCCACTTATTAAGTTGAGAAAAAAGCTGTTTGCAGAACACCATGGTAAATGGCTTTTTTTGTTGTCAAAAATTAGAAAAAATATTTTACACAGAAATATCATAGTACAAGCATAGAAATATGTCTGGTTGACTATGCACCAAACTGCCCATGGCAATTATCATGAGCTGAGATTGCAGAAAGCTTTCTATTTGAGATGGTTTTTCATTCTTTACATGTTTGCAGTGAAGATTTGAAGTATTACATTTGCATAAAAAGTAAAGATACTTAAATACAAAAACCAAAGAGGGGGCAGGTTAGAAACTAATAAATCTGGTTTAATAAATATTGTTAAAGGATAGTTTTTTAAAACGGTATATCTATGTATATGTTAAATGAGCACATGTTAAATATTTTATTTAACAGCTTTTTAGGTGGGAACCGATAAGCTGTTACAATTAGTTCAGAAGACAATCGGAAGAACAGAAGCAGTTTTAAAGCAGGAATATTGAAAAGAATGGGCAAATGGAGACTAAACTGGCATTTTTCCCCAGTGATCTAGGGAAGACAGTTGAACATCCACTGGATAGAATTTATGTACATGCCTAGAGACAAGAATTATTCTACATTAATGTCAGATTTCTACAACTTACAAAATGTAAGAAAGCTCAAAGGCAAAGAAAAGTGCAAAGATCACATAAACTCACCATTGCAAGGGTGTGCTTGTCTAAAAAGCGCATCATTTCCCACTGAAGCCAAAATTTTCCCCTACAATATGAAATGATAACAGTAGTATGCTTGGTATACTAGCTGATATTGGTTTCTGGTATTTGTTTTACTCTTATTATGTAGCCTGAGGCAGGGAGCTTGTGTTTATAGATCCCAATATAAAATGGGAATGATAATATTATTAATACTCACCTCATAGGATTGTTGATGGATTAAATGAGAAAATGTGTGTTAAATGCTTGGACCTGTGCCTGACTGGTGGTCAGTGCTCAGTGCAGGTCAAAGATTGTCCTCTTCCCAGCTAGGTCTAGTTATTCACCTAAATTCACTGTTGCCTCAAAATGGCCATCTCCTGAAGCCAGGGCCTCCTCCAGCATCTGAGATTTGTCAGGGAACAGACGCTTTGCCTCAAATCGGTACACATCCTTGGAATCCATTACTCTGCATCTTGACCCAAGTTGCCAGCTTTCCTGGATCCCAATCTTTTTGCTTCTCCTCAATTTCTGGTACTTTTCAGGTCCTTTACATTACATACGTAGGTTCTTTTACTTGCTTCTAGTCCCCGGTAATTGTATGTTCTTTAAAATTCTTTTTAACTAGACAAACTCTTGATATTGGTTGGCGTTCTGTTTACTGACTCCTAGACTCTAAAGTACATACATTTCATTGATGAATACTCTTTGGAAATAATAATCCAAATTTCTTTACTGTGCTTTTTAAATTGCAAAATGAATTTTGAGTATGCATTGGTATATTTCTGTTGTATTCATTCTAGCTTTAGACAATAAAAAGCTCACAAATCATTTTTAGTCCCTTCTTTTAAGTGACAAAAACACTACTAAAACAAGAAAACTTTAAACAAATATGGGATAATTAGATCATGCATGCATTTAACTTACGAATTTGACTCCAGGCAGACACATGGGTATAGTCTTTACTTTTCTCTGTCCCTCATTTCCCATATGCAACAGTCACTTCGACCATCCTTGAATTTTTTATATCACTTCATTCCAATAGTTAATACCTTGGTTGAGGCCACTATCCCCTCCAAGCAAAATTACGGCAATAGTAATGGTCTCCATACTTCCAAAATTGCTCCTTAAATCCAGTCTCTACATAGTGGCCAGAGTAATTAGGGCAAATCTGAGAATGTTATCTCTGAGTTTGAAGTGCTTCAGTGGATCCCTCTTAAGGATAAATTCCAAATGCCTTTAGAAGGTTTACGAAGACCTTCAAGATTTACCCATTGTTAAGCTCTTCAGTTTTCCATCCCTTTAGGTGCCATGCTCAGCTCACTTTTCATACTTAATTGCACCATTCTGAGCAAAACTATAGAGTTCATTTAGGTTGTAGTTCTAATCTGGTTTAACACAGCCAATCCTTTCTGAAAGCTGTGGATTCAATGATCTCTAAAGTCAAAGGGATTGAAAAAATAGTTCTGAATGTGTCTCTGTATTCAAGTAGATTCTTCTGAGAAGTATGAAGCCCCTGGCTGCATTTCTCGGTCATGGATTTTTGAACATTAACCAAATTATGAATCGTCAAACCAGTAATTGCAGCTTACCTAAACTTTTAAAATCTGTTTTTCTTAGTGCTATGTGTTTCTACAAGCCCGGGAAGGTATAGAATTAAATGTGGATATTAAATCAAAGTCAAAAGTAATACTTTTGTGTTATGTTTTGTAATTATTTAGACAATCTACATGTACTCGGTATTAAAGTATTTGTAATTATTTAAAAAACTGGAATTTTGTGGAATCGTACCAATTAGCCATGCAAATTCCAATTTAAACTGTGTAACCAATTTTAGACTTGTAAAGTTGAAACGAATATTAGATTTGTAAATAATACTGCAATGTTTAAGAAAATGTGATTTACTATATTTACAAATATAATGTATTAGATTTGAAAGTGCAATTAACATGCTTGTTATAGTCACATTTGGGCATTCGAAGTGCTTACAAAAAAATCTGTTATATATGCTACTTAACACTTGAAAGAAACTATAATGCAATAGCTGAAGAAGACATTTGAATCCTTCCTAGAGGGATGGGTGGGATGTTAATAAATAGAAGAGAATTCCATTTGGAGGGAAAGGCATAAAAAACATCATAATGTTGGAAGTGTGCATAATGTATTAGGGGAACAATGAGTTTCATTTGATTTGGCCCAAGTGAGAAATAAAAGGAGAATTTGGAACTGTGGTCTGTGCTGAAACCACAAATCTTTTTTAAATTTAATTTTATATTAGTTTCAGGTGTACAGCACAATGGTCAGACATTTATATAATTTACAGTTACTCCTCCCCCGCCCCCACATTACTCTAGCACCCACCTGGCACTACACACAGCCATTACAGTATTATTGACTATATTCCCTATGCTATGTTCCACGTCCCCATGACTGTCTTGTAACTACTAATTTGTACTTCTTCACCCCTCACTCCCTTCGCCCAGCCCCCAACTCCCCTCCTATCTGATAACCAACAGTCTGTTCTCTGTACCTACGAGTCTGTTTTCGTGAAACTGTAAATCTTGAGAGTTAGATTAAGCAGCTAGGTGTCATTCAGGAGGCCGAGGGGACTCGGAAAATTCTGAGCAGGAATAATATGAGAGTTGTCTTTTAGGAAGAATAACGTGGCAAGGTTAAGGAAGAATTGATTGGGGAAGACTCAGAGAGGTAAATGACCAGGATTTCAGACGTAATCAGGGACTGAACTAAAGACGCAGCAAACGTAAACTGACTGTGGAGAAAGATTACTTATAATTTAAGTTGGAAATGCTGAGTGCACCTACAGGAACAATTCGGGGCAAATTCTTTGCTCCCTGCTCCAGACCGTTTGACCTGGGCCAACAAAGGTCAAAAGCCCATTCAACAAATCCTTAAGTCCACAAGTATTGAAAATGCCAGTTCTCTCCCTCTTAGGATATTTATCTAATTATTAAAAGTTAGCACCTACCAACTTCTTTTCCTTAAAATCTCTATAAATGGTACCTATTTTTAGCTAAGAGACCAAAAAAACCTTCATACAAACTTTAGGTTCTTAGTCTTTCATTAGAATTTTATGTGTTCTGCTATAGTGACCACCTTTTAAAGGGCAAAGACTTCAAAAGCCATAAATTGAGCAGGACTCGGCCTGTCTGTGGACAGCAGCACAGCAGCAGCAATTCCGTGCAGATGCTTGAGATGAGGTCCAGCAAAGCGTTCAATCACAATAAGTCGATGCCATCAGAGCATTGTGTAAAATGAAAACACTGTCCATTTCTTACTTCTGTTGGTTTTAGAAAGTAATATTTCAATGCAGAACCTGCTTTAGTATGAGCAAAAATGGAAAGTAGTTTTTGAACTACTATACCTAACAGTTGGGATATGTCGCTAAGGTTTAATAGCACACTTGGGGTCAATTTTTCAAACCTTTTTCATTTTTTGGTCCTAATCTCATCATATGTCTTCTATCTAGAATAATGGTACACAAATTGCTTTTCAACTTTCCTCTTTTGCCTTTGCCCTTGTTCTGGAGTTGAGGGAGGCTAAGATACCGTTTGTAAACACTGTTGAAAAACATGAAAAGCATCTTCCAATCCCTCTTCTGTCCAAAATAAGTCCCCGACCTCTCTCCTTGCTTTTAATACATTAAATAGTAAGCATAATGAGGAAGTCTGTTTATTTTCTATATTATAAACTCTAAAGCGACTACCTTTTATTTTTATACATAATAATGTCAATAAAAACATCAATATCAAATATCCTCAGATATAAAAAGACAGCAAGTGTTAAAAGTATACTGTAAGTTACATACAAAAAACTTCAGTTAGGTGGAGTTGAAATAACAGACAATTAGAAAATCTGTCTTATTCTTGCTTTACAGGTGAGAACTCTGAGCTTTTAACTTAAAACAACTGAGCGCTGTCTGAATACAATAGAAATTGGAACAAACTAAAGCTGGGGGTTTCCCAATGATTTTATTGAGGTAACTTTTCCCAATTTTATACATATATGCATTTATATATACTTAAGAAAGCTAAACAATGTTCTAAGGCACTTGGAATTGTGCACAGCAAAGTATCTTATAATATTATACAACTAAATAGAGCATAATTTTGCTTCTTAAATAACACAAACATCAGTACAGAATAAAAAAGATAATACATAGTCTTTCTTTCAGGTTATAATAGTGGAATACATGTACATGTGTGTGTATACTTGTAGATATTTATACCCACATACTATAATACAGTACAGATCAAAAACAACAATGAAAAAGAGAAACTGTTATGTTAATTGGTGTACAGTTCCAGTTATATACACTCACAGATATTATACCTGTGTAATATGTAGGATTAGATCACTCACTGGAAATGAGTCAGTCTGATAATGATCACAGCTTACCACCCTTATCAGTTTAACCAAAGCTTGAAATAACAAAGGAATGAATATTGTTCTTTACCTAATAATGATACAGAGAAAAAAATGACTGAGTTTTTGGTAGGTACTAAATCTGGTGAAATTGGTGCAGAATGTTTTGAACACATTGGCACATTTCTAAGCCACAGAAGAAATATTTAAAAATATAAAAAAAAATTAGTGCCTATATTTTATGTAATGAAAGTGGTTTGACCCTAGATTCATGCAGATTGTTTTAGAACGCTAGGTAGTATTACAATGGTGACTTCTTGTGGAAGCTCTGTAAGCGATGTAATGATAGAAACTATAAGGAAAGCATTTGGTAAGGGAAAAGCCCCCCAAATTGGCAAGTGGTATAAATATTATTGGCATTTTAACATACCATAAAATTGACCTGAGGGTGGAGTGGTATTCTGCCTCATTTACTCCTTTCAATTTATTCTTAAAAAAAAACAACAACAAAAAAACAAAACTGGTATTTAACAAGACATGAATTCTTAAGCACCATCGAAAAGTTCACAATATAACCATCTTTATCAACTTTGAGTTGCTTTGTTTCAAAAAAGATATTTAGAAATATGAATATCTAAAAAAATTATAGTGGCTAAATTAATTCCATTAGCCACAATTCATCCAAATAATTTCAAGACATATTTGCCATTCAATTTTGGTGATAAAAAGCAACAAAGAGAATTAGTATGTTTATGTATTGTTAGTATAGTTTTATTATGTTTCACCTCAGTAAAACTCATTGTGTTTTGTTCATGATCATCACTGAAGTATAAACAATGTGCATGCAATCCACAGTTAATCCACGTTTCTTTCATAATTCAATATTCACATATCTTAGAAAAGATGAACCACATGGCTATATTTATACAGGGGGAATTCAAACTTTTGCATGTGGATTAAATGCTTCTTTACTAGGATAAACAGGCGATTGTTTTGGAACTCATGGGATGCAGCTTACCAGGTGAAATCTTATGGTGATATTCATGGACCATGGGTTTTGTTTATGTGGATTGTCTGCCATCGTGTTTGTGGTTAAGTCATGCAACGATTCTCGCGACACTGAGAATTATGAGTAAAATGGTGAAGCCAAAAAAGGAAAAAGTTTGCTTCATGTGAAATCTCTCCTCTAGGCATGTACAGGGACTAGCCAAGTAAGTATGCCCATTAGAACAGCCATGCTGCCCAGGAACGTGCTCCCTGAACAACTAGCAAATTTAAGTTGCATCGAAACGGAAGGCTTGAAATGAAGGGGGAAGAAAGGAGCCAGGGCCCATAGAAGTGCAAGGCAGCCGAGATGGTGTTTTGAGACAGACACTTCTACCTGTGTGTCCTAAAACTGCAGTACGTAGTGGTATTCAAGGGAGGTGGTACCTCCCGTCTAGGAGGGCATTCGAACACGGGGCGGGGGCTCTTTATGTTTGGTGTTTACGATGACAGGCATGTGGTGCTGGCATTTAGTCAGCAGGAGTCTGGTATAGTGAACAGTTTGTAAGGTGTGGGACATTTTTGTACAACAAAGAATGGCCCAACTCCAAATGCCAACAGCACCACCACTGAGAAACATCATTCCATAGTGCTTTGCTCTTATACACAGCTGTGCTAGCAATGTGACTAGCTAAATGACATTTGTGTGTGTGTGTGTGTGTGTGTGTGTGTGCGCGCGCGCGCGCAGCAAATCCTGGCATAGCTAAAGATGACCGTTGCCTATAGGGTTTGGCCTTCAGTAAGAATGACTGCCACAGGATTATTCATTTTTTTTTTTTTTTTGCCAGAAATCTTACAGCATATACAATGAGATTTGTTAAAATGGGATGACCTTGTCTTTGAAAAAGCTTAAGTGGATCATGTTTTGGTTGTTTTCTAGAAATGCTAACAGTGGTTCACATTTTTATACAGACTAAAAGCTTAATGATTTAAAAAAATGAGAATGGTTTGGGAGTATTATGCCTTTGTTCCCATCACCCTTTGGTCACTGCTAAATAGAGCCTCATGCTGCTCTGTGAAACCTGAGTTTGAAGTATCTGGAGATGTGCTTTTTTTCAGAAAAATGGTCTTATTAATTTGATGATTATTTTTGCCATTCTATTCCCCTCTAGGGCACATTTTTAATTCTAGAAGTTCACTCTGCTTTGTCAAATAAAACAATGAGTAGAGAGCAAATACTCAATTGTGGAAGATTAGCTATTTCAAGAGGCCAAGAAGACCAGAGACAACTTTGTCAATAACTACATCTGAGTGGTTCCTTAGTGGTTGCAGCTTACTGTCATGATGTGAAGAAATTCATCTTTGTCTCCAAGCATATACTTTTACTAGTAAGTTAGATTTAACGATATGGTTGAAATATAGGAATGCTTAAGCTACCACACTGAGGAAGTGACATAAATTTATATATCTTGTATTAGTTCGATTCCCTCTCGCCTACTCTAAGAGATTTCTTACTCTGTGAAATGTGCTGTGGAGACCACTTCAAAAATAATGACAGATTGAAGAAAATTTTCAGGAAGAAAGGAAGAAAAGAAAGGTTTCACTGTTTAAATGTGTGTATACAACTATGTGGTAGACAAGGCTGTCTTTTTGTATCATGAATACAGTATAATTTTTGAAAGTTGTATCTGTCTGATTCCATTAAGTATAAATACAATGCTTGTTATGTGTTAAAATGCGGTACATATTAGGATATTCGTGTTAATGCAGATTTTTCTCTTTTAACTATAAGTTACTCTTTTTTTAAAAAGTGCCAATGCAGCACTGAATTAATTGCAGGGTATATATCTTGAATTATGAGTTTTAAGGACTTATCTCTCATCTTTAAGATTGGATCATTTTTGAAGGGTGTTTTCAATTCCTTTTTCACTTACATATCAAAACTTCCTACTTACAAAATATATTTATTAATACCAGAGAAAGATGAGTTAACAATCATTATGCTAATAAAGGATATGACAATGAAACCAGAAAGTCCGTTTTTGCTGGGTAAATCAGAGAGATAGATGAGTTTGCTTTTTCCTCCATTTAAAACAGCTATTGAAATACCAAAATTGGTTCTCTGAATATTATAGATTTCATTTAAACAATTTAAGAAATTAATATAAGGGTGAACTATATCAACCCTAAAAAATGCAAGACATTTCACATACACAGGCAATTTTAGGCAGGACCGCCTTAAATTAATGCTGTCACCAGCTATTTAATTTTGTCAGATTGATTGGTAATGACCACAAAGATGCTAATAAACCCCGTGCCATCTTCTCACTACCTTTCCTCTATTTTCCTTTTCTCTATTTTAAGAAAAATGAAAACGACCACTTTGGTTTTTACAGTCTGTCTGGTTCTTTCCTGCCTGGGACCTTCCTGGAGATGGGTGTGTTTTTTCCCTTAATCATATCTCGAGGGCTCAGGAAAACCCACGCACTTCCTCCATATTAGCTTAATGTTACATTTTAAATAGGGAGCTGTGTTACAACGCGATTCATGCACATTTATTTTCTTTATAGAACTGCTGCTTATTGGTTGGCTTGTAGAAATGCTGAAATTGCAGAAACGCTCAGGCAGAGGCATAATTATGCGGGGGGGTGGGGAGGGGGGACAGCATTTTCTCGGTCTTTCAGGGCTGCCAGGCAAGAGACCTCTGGATGGGCTGCTGGAGAATTAGTTATTAAAATAGAGCCTTATTCTGAAAAATATATCTTAGTTCATGATGCTTCGAATCTTTTTCACAGCTTTTTATTTAAAGAACTGATCCAATGAAATAACTGGTGGTTCCAATCCTTAAATATTAGACTAGCAGTTGTTAATTTTTTTGACTTTTAAACGTCTTTTAAACTTTTTTCTAAGCATGTAAATCAGGATGAAGAAAAAATGTGGAAAGTTCATAAATCTGATATAACTTACAGGAAAAACAATATATTGAGGGACTAAATTCTCATTTTTGTACTGGGTGCATCTCATTGCAGAGAATAAAAAATTGCATCACATGCACCACTTGTGGGAAAAAAATGTTCCTTTTATCAACCAAATAGAGACTTTCTATGGCATGTATCTTGTGATAAAATGGTGACGTATTATATTTACCATTTTTATGGAGGCGAGGCCTTCTGATTAGAAATCAAAACAATGTTCAAAGATCGTAAGAACAGAAAATTAAAATAACATTACATCCCTTGGTATTTTTCCCAAGACAATAAAATGATAATAAAATAAGGAAGAGGATGACTTCAGCAAAAGAATTAGAACATAATTAATGTCTATGGCTGGATTTAAACACTATGAAATAGACGAAACCTCAGCTAGAGAAAGACACTTAGACACACAGAAACATTTTTTCAAAGCAAAAAAATGTCATCCTATTAATGAAATGACAACAGTGCAGAAATATAGGTTTATTTTATTAATGCACATAGCTGAGGGCAGCAAGAGGCCATGTTCCTGGCTTTTTGTCATGAGCTAAGTGGGGCTATTTGGTTTTTATTTTTTAAGTGAAATCATTCAATTTCAAGTGGTTCTTTAAAATACCAATAAATGGCAGGATCCGAATTTATTCACCTGATGAAATGTTTGCTTTTCGTTTTAAATAAAAAATTACAGTCTTCCATTTTATGACCAGAATCATTTCAGAAAATTGTAGTCCAAGCTCTGAGAATAAAATAAAGTCTATTTAGGTCTTGTCTTGTTATTATACATCTCATGTGTTTTTAACAAAAGAGGCACAAAACAATTGTGAATGAACAATTAAATGCAAGGAAGTATTTACATATGGTCATATGTATTTGGGAGCAGAAGCCATGCTGTGCCTGTGACTCCATGGAAAATAACAATAGAGGGTTTCATAATGTAAACAATATTGACTGTAGGCTCATAAGGAAACCTTCCTTAACTCTAAACTGATTTTTGTTTTGTTTTGTTTTGCACTACAAGTCAATGTTGTGTTCTTTTGAGCCTCTAGGTACGTGTTTTTGTTGTTGTTGTTTTTTGTTTTGGTTTTTATTTTTTGATCCACATGCTTTATCTTTTTAATAGCAGCAATCCAACTTAATGTGGCACTGAAAATAAGTACTCCTTTGCATCTTCAGAGCTAACTACTGCCAGAACACTTGCATTTTCCTTAAGTTGTAATTTTGGATTCAGATTTTTAAACAAGACGTTGTTGTTGCTATTATCTTCTTTAGATCAAGTAGGGTTGTTTTTGACTTTGGAGATAATCGAACTGGCGAAAGGCCAAAAGATTAATTTCTAAAGCTTGTTACAGATTTATAGGCTCACATCACCTTTGACTTTATTCCTAGTCCTGCTATCCTTGTGGAAGGTTGGTACATTATGTAAGGAATATTAAAAAAAAAGTAAAGTGTGTATAGCTATGCTACTTAAAGCATGCGACAAAGTTTGGGTAAGCATGCTTGTTAAGAGTCAGTAAAAACCTCTTGCATTTAAGAAAAAGATGCATGAAAACACAGACTCATTTCTGGCAACTGGATTCACTGGCACAACATATACTGCACCAACATAATGGTGAAACAAGAATATTCTTCTAGGATCAGGTCTCTAAGGAATCCGTGTTGGATGATTGGATCCCCGAACCCCTTAATAAGTTCTCAGCTATTGAAAGCCTACCTGGAAATACATTTATGCTTCAATTTTCTCTTTTCTTCATTAACATAATGAAATATTTCTCTTTTCTTCTGATTTTCAACCCCCACCCCCTTCTAGTGCCCAACCATTCCATTCCCCATTTTTCCTTTTAAAACCCGCATTCTAAGATTTGGCTTTCTAGTAACAGGGAGCCAGCGATTGATTGTCTTCTGCTCATCTTCTTTGATTAAAACCCCTGATGAAGAGTAACTGGTATAACCAATGGTGTCCCTTACCATCAATACACATGCTGTACAGCAGGGTCACTGCACCCATCCTTTTGCTTGTTGGCCCCAGCTGGGCCGTACAGGTGTGGAACACTTTCCACGTGCTTCCTTCGCCGCAAGTGAAACGGAAACACGCACATTCAAATCCCAGTGCAATATCAGGTGTTCAGGAAGTGAGGTTTCCCCCAAACATGATCACTCCATGTTTCCAGAGTCTCGCACTTCATTATGGACGGTGAAACCTGAAGTAAGAAACGGAAGCTCTGTGAGTCTGTGGCACAGAAGCACAGTCTACATTCAGTGACCTGAATAGGTACGGTAATGTTTGTAATTACAGGCCATCTTAGACATCCGCTACCTGAATTACTGTTATAAATTACTTTCGTAACAGACTACTGTTATAAATGTGGCGGTGGAAAGCAGAGACAGCCCCTGTACTAAAGACGCTGGTTGTATCACCTTGGATATAGAGCAATCGATACACAAAACACCATTATTCTTGAGGGTCATGTTCTAACCTGTATTGAGCAGAGTGAGATGTTTCATAAAGGATTAGGTTATACCTTGTTTGTAGTTATAAAAGGAAAACATCAACAGACAGTCACTATTTCTTTAGCTTCAGCCTCTCATCACCTCCCGTTGATGACTTCAAGTCTATTTTGTAGATCTGTATTTCCAAATGCTTACCTGGCATTTCCTTCCAAATGTTTCGAAGGCAACATACACAATATAAGCAAGTGCACAATGATGCAAATAATCTATTCTTGTAAACCTGCCTTTGCACTTTCCAGCTTGTTAAAGGTTCTACCTTTTAGAATACTTTTAGTCTAAAACCTCAGAATTGCAACTCATTTCTCTCCTTCACCCTGCAGATCCCATCAGTCACCAGGAACTGCCTCAGTTGCCCATCTTTGAACCCATTAACCCCCTGACCACCGTTTGCTGGCACTACTTTAGCAGCAAGCGAGCTAGCTGGCTGGTTTCAGACCCCTCCATGCGAGTTCCTGAACATGCCTTGCAATTTCATAGTCTGTGCTTTTGAACAGGCTGTTCCCGAGTACTGCAACCCCTGACCTTCTTTTTCCACCTATGTTTTCATACTAGAGATCAAAGTCAAAAGCCATTTTCTGCATAAGGCCTTATCTGATCTACCTCTTCAACCTACTTCTGTGATCCCACATTTATGCAACTCTATTGGGCATTTTATTTATCTTATATAATCTAATGTTCATCTGCTCTAGTAAACCAGTCTCCTAGTTCATTTCCATGTCCCAGGCCAAAAGATTTGAAGATCAAATGGATATTCCACAGTTACTAGCAGTATCATCATAAGTACTCATTCAATGATTCCAGTTCTTTGTTAATATCATTGTATTGTTCTCCATTCCCTACAAAATAAAATTTAAATATCTTAGAGTGGTGATTGAAGCCTTTCAGGATGTGGACGGACTCATGTTATGAGATATATTTTCATAACTACTCCCGAAATACCCTCAGTGCCAATCATTTGCCACCACATGCTCATCACATTTGTGCTCACGCACAATAACACGTGAAACAACATTGGCCATACATTCGTCATTGGAGAAGCTGCATGATGGATACACAGGGCTTGTTATATTAGTTTTGTTTGTTTGATTTTCCAAAAGTGAAAATAAAAATAAGATATACCAAGCTTTCCAAACACGTCGTGACTAAAGTGGAAATGTGTCCACATGAGTTAAATTCTTAACTTTATCCTAACTACAACCTTGGGCAGATGTGTGAACTGTGATGCTCTACATTTGTTAAACGAAGACAATATTACTGTTTAAGTCACCTGGGTCTTCTTTTGCCCTCTGATCATGTAAGATTCTTTCCCATCTCAGGCCCTTTGTCCTAGTTCCTCCCTCTACTTTAATTGATCTTTTTTGGAGGTGTACTGTTTTCCTTTCTCTTGAGAGTACTGATGGATCCCTCTTGTCATCTAAATTATGGAATAACTTTTATTTCCTCAAGAGACCCCTTTCCTGGCCATCCCATCTATACCCACCCTTTTCCCTCCCACAGTATCCTACTATTTTCTTTGTAGTCCTTAGCACAATCTAGGCCCTTATCTGACTTGTTCAAAATTCCCAGGGTCCAGAACAGAGCCTGGCTCACTCTACGTGCTCAACAAATATTGGATGAACTTATAAACAACCGAATACATATATACAGGGGCACTGAGAAAGTTATTGATAACTTTCTATAAATAATTCTATATAACTGAAGAATCCAATTATGAGGCCCCTAAATTATTACAATTATATGTATGCTAACCTACGATAACCCGTCCGATAGGACATTCCATGATGCTTTCTAGGAAGTCAACTATAACCTGAAGAAAAATATAAAAATTCTATTAAAGCATTTCAAAAGAGTAATGGAAACTTCTTAAACATTCTATATAGAATACGAGACATATAATTATGATGATAACTAATATTTACTAATGTTTATGATGTGTCTAGCACAAGTTCAAGTGCTATACATATATTTCCTAGCTTAATCCTGAAAACGATCCTGTGAGGAAGGTACTCCTGTTTCCCCTTTGTACAGATGTGGAAACTGAGGCACATGGATGCTAAGTCATGCACCCACAGCAGAAAGCTGGTAAGTAGAGGTGCAAAGCTCCAGATTCTGTATTCCTAACCTACACTAGACAATGAGATGAAAAGCAGGCCCTCATCCATACTTTCATTCGTTCTATACACAGGTGCCCTATGTATAGAACGGAATGGAAAAGGCGATCAGTTGAATTTCCATATCTATCAGTAAGTTTTGATCCATTTCAACCAAAAAAAGTCCTATTCCACATCCCCGAGCTACACTTTGACTGTTACAGTTATCTCAAAAACATCTGCCTTTTGCCACAAAAGGAACTAGATGAGAGTAGGCCCAGCACAACGTTTTTTGCAAGCACTAGAAAAGCAAGTCCAGTGATGTCCTTGGGTTTGAAAGGAGAAGCATCACCTCCCCCCATGCAGGAAACACAAGCACTGCCCATACCACGTGGAGCGGGCAGGAGCCCTAGGAGCCCTGACAATACAGACAAACATACTGCCCCTGCAGGGTCTTTACACCATGAGCTATCAAAGGTCCCTCTTCATTAGGTTCAGCTTTTCCAGGAATTACATACAAACTCATGTGTTTTAGCAATTATTTTAGCCCTCTCCTAATTTCCTGGAAGTTCATACACCAGAACTTCCACAAAGTCCTAATCTTCATTTGGTCTTGATTCGAAGGACAAGTTGGAGAAAACATGACATGAGAGGTTTTCTCTTCCCATCAGTAGTGTCTGTGGAATGAAACAGGTAAATTAAAAACTGGGCTGGGTAACAAAGTGAGTAGGCAGTGAAGCAGAAGACATTTAGAACCTTCTAAAGCCCAGTATTTCCCTGGAAAATGTCCTGCTTTTAATTTCCAAAAATTGGCAGGACACTATAAAGTTTTTTGTTTTTTCTTCAGACACTATTTGCCCAAGGAGTCCATTAAAGAGTGAGTTCCACGGTCCAGATCACATGGAAGGTCACAAGCCACCAGCATAGCTTTAAAGGCTGGCCAAGATAGGAAGGTGACCGACCAATAGTGTGAATGCAATAATATGCTGACAAAGCCAGGGGTCAGAAATGCACCCTCTCTTCATATGGACTGCCCAGATTTGGTAAAAAACAAAGAAACATACTCATGCATTTTCTTGCCCTTTCCAATTAGAAAAGAACATTTATATTCCTGTTTAAATTAGGCATCTTATCTTTGAAGTCAGCTCCAAAATTTTATGGTTAGAGGTGTTGAAAATGCAGATTGTTCTTGAGTTTATTATTCCTTGGTGGTTTGTAGCATTCATTTTCAAAACTGAGAAATTCAGTTCTATCTCCTGAGAAGTTTGTCTGCCTGACAGAATGACAGTTTTGACTTTAGGCTTCAAGTTGATGGAGCAATAAATACATTAACTGTGCCCTAAGGATACTTAAGTTTTCCCTCTGTTCTTTTCTCCAGAACTTCCCTGGGAGTCAAATTTGAAGTCGTCTATACTTAATTCTTCTCTTAAAATTACAATACATTTTTCTTATTTCCATACTGTTGAGAGGAAGTAAATAGGGAGACAAGCTATTTTTGAGTGATGGAATTCAGGAAAAGATGATTCTTTTCCATAAAGATGGTTCCTCCATAATTTAATTTTAAGAAATTTACTCCTATAAATTCATTCAGATAATATAAAATATAAAATTACTCACAAATGTAAAATATTACTTTCTTATACTTCCCTCTTTGATATATCCAGAAACCCTGGACCATTCGTTTCTCTCTTATTTAAAAGGATCTAACTGCCCCGGCGCATACATTGATAAGAAACAAAGG